CATGCCTTCGCCTTGCCGCGATCCCCTGATGTACCCGAAACAATAAGCTGAAACTGTAAGCCCAAAAACTTAGTGAGTTCCCCCAAAATACCAACGCCATACAATTATAACCACAACATATAACAATTACATGACAACATGCATGATCAGCCTTCAGCCTGACTGGACGACCTTGCAGGGCCTACAACCTATTTGGACCGCTCCCGAGCCTTTGGCTTGACTGGATCGCCTCGCAGGGCCTACAACCTATCCGGACCGCTCACCGGGTATGTTGGCCTACAACACAAAGCAGGACCGCCTCAACCCAACCCTCAATCAACAAGCAAACATGTGCACATAAATATTATACGCTAGCTCACATCATATACCAGTCAAACTGATCTATCAGATCACTAGTCATAGCAACATCCCCAGTAACCAGGGTATAGACCTAACCGGTCACTAACATAGCATCATCCTATAGCCAGGAGATTGACCTAAACAGGTCACTACGCATAAGCATATCACCATCCTAACTACCAGGATGTAATCAATAAACATATCATGCCATAACCAGATACAATCCATAAAGGGCCGACCTTGGTGCCTTAGACCCTGTTAATATAGTGAGGATAACTCATCTCGTACTGTTGACTCGAAGATAAACTCAAGCTCTTGGATTACTGCCACGAACTCCACCCCCTATATTCATTGTAAACCATACTTGTAAATTTCCAATCTTTCCAAAATGTCCTCCAAAAGTCAACTGGTTAACTCATGGTCAAAGTTAAAGTCAACTGTCAATGTCAACAGTCCATGTTGACCTCAACTCATCGAGTACCCTTAGCTACTCGCCGAGTTCCTTGCAATACTCGTCCGCTCGCCGAGTCACCGGAGCGACTCGTCAAGTTCCTAAGGCTCGCGATCGAAGCTCCATGGCCACTCGTCGAATTTTCCCCCTGCAACTCGACAAGTTCACATGCATCCAACGGTTGGGAAAAACCCTAACCGACTCGCCGAGTTACTCTACTCACTCGCCGAGTCTTCGACAATCTTCATCGGACTCGCCGAGTTGTTCATCCAACTCGTCGAGTTCAGGACCATCTTCATATGACTCGCCGAGTCGAATATGCGACTCGCCGAGTCCCTTCAATTCTTCATCCATACAGATGCATTTTAAGCCATGCAAAGGTCCCAGATTGCAGATCCAACCTCCTTAGGCATGCTTATCACGTAAAGTTGCAAACTTTACGTGCATGCAAGGCTTTAAGGCCCTTAAATGACAAGACTAAGCTTGCAATGAAGTCTCACACTTGAGGGAAGGCTCATACTAGGCGAGGCTGATAACTTTATGGATCTAGGAGCCAAAGGGAGTCCAAATCTGAAGTTACAATTTCAGATCTTAGCTCAAACATAAGTAGCCTTTCATAAAACCCATCCAAAAGAGATTTTTGATGAACATGAGGCAAGGAAAACAGTCTAATGCCTTCAAGAGAATGTTCACTGATGTAGATCTTGAATCCCACGAGTTCTTGCTTCTACTTGCTTGTTTTCCCCAAGTGTTTCCTCCTCCACAATTCCTCCTCCAAGCTTAAACACACCAAAAGAACACACACACACACGATTTAGGGTTTGAGAGGGACAAGAAACAGTAAAGGGGAGGCTGAGGGAGGCCAATGATCCTTTAAATAGGGTGAAATGCCCCGATATCTAGGGTTTCATCTGCCAGCTCCTACTCGTCGAGTCCGCTCTTGGACTCGGCGAGTAGATCACTTAAAACACACGGACCAACCCGCTACTACTCGACGAGTAGGGCGTCCAACTCGTCGAGTAGACCCAAAAACCATAAGGATTCATACATAAATCAATACCTGAGAATCGAGGCGTTACACGACGAGTTCATAAGAGAACTTAACGAGTTGTTCTAGAAGTATCCCGACTCTATTAGAAAAAGAGGGACTCGACGAGTTGTATGGGAAACTCGACGAGTTGGATAGCGATATCACAATTCTGTGATTTATGGAACTCACCAAGTTGAATAGTAACTCGACAAGTTGAGTCAACTCGGAGCATTGACTTTGACTTTGACCAGAGTTGACCATTAATAGGGTTAGAAGTATGAAATGGTATTAAAGGGGATCTTTTATGTTTAGGGGATTCAGTTGAGTTGATATTCAGAGTCGAGGACTGTGCAACTACTTTTCCGTATTTGAGGTGAGTTACCTTTCCTGTATCAATGGGTCTAAGGCACCAATGTCGGCCCACTAGTAGTTGTTTATAGTAGAGATGATTGTCTGTGTGATAATTGTCTGGTATGCCACTATTTGTTGTGACTTATGTGCTTATTTGCTATGGTATTATGTGGTAGTGGTAGAGGGGTGAAATAGACCCCGTATCCGGTTGATTAGACCGAAGGGGAGCCACCACCCAGATATGCTCGACAGTATCCGGTTGAATATAACGTAGGCGAGGCCAACACCCAGATATGATCGGCAGTATCCGGTGGAATAGACCGAATGGGAGGCCAGCACCCAGATATGATCGGCAGTATCCGATGGAATAGACCGAATGGGAGGCCAGCACCCAGATATGCTTGGCAATATGTTTGCTGTATGGTATGTGGTATGATGGGGGGACTCACTAAGCTTCGTGCTTACGGTTTTTAGTTTTGGTTTCAGGTACTTCTTCTTCAAAAGGAAAGGAGCCGACATGATCGCAACGTATCACACTATGATTTTCCGCATATGAGATTTTGGGAGTTGTACTACGATATTACTTTTATATGACATGTTTTGGTTATTGACTTACTGGTTTTATTCATGATATGAGTGGCACTATTTATGTTTCATACTACTGTTTTTATAATTTACTCAATTAAAAATGGAATTTTTGGTTTTTTAATTTTGGGACGTTTCAGAACCGCTTACTTACGGAGTTTCATGAGACTCCCATGGCGGGTCATTGCGGAATTAAGAAAATGTTAGTGTCGTTATCTACATTGTTTTATTGGGAAAAAATGCGCAAGACGATGAAGGAGTTTGTGGGTGCATGTGTGGTTTGCCAACAAACCAAGTATTCGACCCAGGAATACGGAGGATTGTTGCAACTACCGTTGACTCCGAAGCCTGTTTGGGAAGATGCCTCTCTGGACTTCATCACCAGGCTACCTACTTCGAAGGGCATGACCGTTATTTTGGTGGTAGTTGACCGTTTAACAAAGTATGTGCACTTTGGGACGCTGCCAATTCATTATACAGCCCAAAAGTTTGCTGAACTTTTTCTGGAAATCGTTGTCAAGATTTCCCAAAAGTATGGTGTCGGACAGGGACACAATCTTTGTCTGTACATTCTGGTCGCATCTGTTTACATTAAGTGGCACCACGTTAAACCATAGTACGACATACCACCCCCAAACTGATGGGAAAACGAAGGTGGTGAATCGAGGGGTGGAACAATACTTACGTGCCATGACTTCTGACTGACCACAACAATGGGTTCGTTTATTGGCATGGGCTAAGCTGAGTTACAATACCAGCTATCATATTAGTATTGGTATGTCACCTTACCAAGTTCTATATGGTAAGCTTCCTCATTCTCTCATTCCTTATGCAGCGGGGTCGTCAAAGGTAGTTGCGGTTGAGGAGCTATTGCTAGAACAAGATATACTGATGCGACAACTTAGGGAGAATCTGGTGGCTGCCTGCAACTTAAAGGAACTCTAGGCAAATCGGAAAAGGCTGGATGTGGAATTTCATCCGGATGACAAGGTTTTTGTCAAGCTACAACCGTACCGGCAAATTTTGGTTGCCAAATGACTTTCAAATAAGCTTGCAAATCACTATTATGGGCCCTTTAATATTGTTGAGAGAGTAGGAAAAGTCGCATATCGGCTAGATCTTCCGCCCACTAGTCGTATCATGTTTTTCATGTTTCGGTGCTCAAACTTTGCAAAGGTGGAATTGGAGTCAGCGGATCAGTATTACCTGAGACTTTTGAGGACGGGCACCCGGTGGAACAACCGTTGAATGTTTGTGATGTCAGCCAAGTGATAAAAGAGGTCACTCTCAAGTTCAGGTCTTAGTCCAATGGTCTGGTTGTTCACCTGAAAATGCTATTTGGGAGGATCTGCAGAAGTTTCGTGCAGTTTATCCTGAATACAACCTTGAGGACAAGGTTCTTTTGAAGCGCAGGAGAATGTTATGCCCGAATTAAGCCCGTCAACAAATGTGGATGTTGATCTTAGCCCGTCAGCCAGAGGTCCGGGTCTAGTAAGGAAGTCTGATAGGGTGGTGGTGAAACCCGTTTGGCAGAAAGATTACCGGATGGGTAAAGTCACGAAGTAGGATAAGATTGGTTCTATGTTTTTAAAGTATTCCTTCGGATTTGGATTTCTGTTTAGATTTAATTTATCTTTTCGTTGTTATTATTTAAACGTTAGCATGGAATGTAATACAATAACTTTTGAGTCAAATTCTGTCTTCTTTCTCTCAGTTTCTCAGGGAGTTTGCACTCATTCAATGTAGTGCTCGTTGATCATATAGGCTTGAGTGTATTACTATCCTTAGCATCTCCATTTTCTTAAATGATTCAACAGTTAAGTTAACGCAAAAAAAATTTATAACGCTAATATGTCACACCACATCAACAGTTAACTTAACGCGATCATCTGGTGACCTGGGACATTAATGGACACAAAAAAAACAAGTTAACTCCACACAAGCAAACATCTGGTGAGTTGAGACTTTACATATAAAACTAATATGACACACCACATCAACAGTTAACTCAACGCAAACATCTAAAGACCCGAGATATTAATGGACACTAAAAAAACGAGTTAACTCCACACTAGCAAGCATTGGTGACCTGAGACATTAATAGACATAAAACCAACACAAACTTAAGTTTTTTATTATTTTTTTTAATGGTATTTGCCTATGTGAATTTATTCATTAACATGTTATTATAATTTTTTATTTTAAATTGCCAAATATCAACACTCAGCTCAAGATGAGATATCGGTTCCTATCCGTCTGCATACTGATCTCTCTGCTGGAAGCAACACTTGGCTACCATCGCATCTTCTACAATGGCTTCTCCTCTCCCCCTTCCCTCTGTTGCCCCTAATTTCAAGGTATATATATATGCACACTCTTGCTTGCTCTACATATATATGTGTAGTACGCAAATTGTTGATAAACTCCCTTTACCTGTTACCCCTCCTCGTGTATTTTGGTACCACAATATAAATGAATACGAAATTCTAAAGAGCTCCATGCGTTTCTCACTTTCTCTCTTAATTACAACCAGGGTACTTGTGGGTTCGGTTTAAGGGGTCGTAAATCGAGATTCGGTGTCAGCATTCGTAAGGGATTAAGGGTTTCTGCTGGAGGTAATACAAAAGATTCCTCCATATTTTTTTTTGGCGTAATTCGAACTCTCATACTCGTTTTTGTTTATCTTCTATGAATAAAGTTTAATTTTTAATCATTATTTATGTTTGGTGGGATTTAAGTTGCAATGTGCTTATGCCCACCATGTGTTTGCGAAAAAAACTAGAAAAGAAGAGATTTATTTTGAAATGTGCTTATACCTTTGGACCCTTTAAGCTCTTCAAAGCCTATCATGAAGGATCTTAATTCTTAACCATAGGCTATACCTGATCTTTGTATGCAGATTTGATGATTGAACAAGATGATCTTCTTCTTACATTTTTGAAGGACAGAGAGTTGAATGGAGACTTTATAGCAAAAGTAACTGATAAACTTTGGATGAGGAAGTCAATAAAGATTGATAATACTGAAACAGACTTAACAATTGATGCTAATCAACTCAATGAGGTACTACTGATCATCTAAAAAATGCTATCTTTTTGCTATTTTATTTGTCATTAGTAGGTTTGAAGAAATTGTAGCACCAAATTGTGAAGTAAAAACTCAATGATTTGTTATACTCATGTTTGATTACTGTAGCCATTGGTCGATGAAAATACGGGTGGATTCCTGAAACTGACAAGAACAAATGAGTGGCTATTAGGGGAAACCACTGCACCAATAAACAAAAAGATGAGAGCTAAGGTATTTAGCTTTTATTTCATATTTCCAGAATTATAAAGAAATGATGGATAAAAATATTTTTCTAACTTGTTTATATTGATAACAGGAACAACGTGATGATAGTGAAAGAAGAACTAGACTAAACCTACTTCAATATGAAGCTGTATGAATTTTGAATTGCCACTGAACTATAATTTTAATAATCATAAAAAGATAATACTAATTGACTACATACTGTTACTTTGCAGATTAAGAGGGAACTTTTTCTTCTAACAATTGCTATTGGAACTGCATGTAGTGGATATTGTTTAGTAACTTTTTCCATCCAGGTATTCAAGTAGAGGTATAATTTCAGTCATTTCTGATTTTTCATACACATGCTTTTTAGGGCAAGCTATATCACACTTGCATACAATCACAATTATAAAAAACAAAAAGATAAAGCTTAGTTTACATTATTTTCTTCTAATTTTGATATTTCTTTATTTGGTTCATGAAAAAAGAAATTATGATAGCTTATGGATGAAATGAACTTATGAAATCTTCCTCCTTTTTGCTTATAGGCTGCTGTGAGTTATGCAACAGGAGTACTTTTCAGGTTAGTTTAAAGTAATTTAATTGCTTGATTTCTTGTTTTATCTTATTTATTAGAGAAACACACTTTGTAGAAAAAATAATATATTTTTTGTAATGGATTTTGTAGCCATAAAGTGGCCTTTACAAAGTATGTTGCTATTTTTAGCAGGTTTGGCTAAAGATCAAGATTCAAAATCAGCTTAAGATATTAAAAGTCTCTACATAATGTAGTGCATAATTTGCTGAAATCCTTGATTGAATAGGATTTACATTAAAAAAACTAAATAACCGAAAACTAAAAGGATGTTCAAGGTTAAGAAAAAGTCAAAAATGAATCCCAAAATGATCTTCAAAATTCCTTGAAACTAAGGGAAAAATACAGAAAAGAACTTGTACTCTCACATTTTTATTGATTTTAGCCAGTTAAATATTTATGTAATGATCAAACCATTATGTATTTTTTTAGGGTTAATCTAAAAAAAAGACCTTATATTTTGTGTTTTTTCCAGATTAAACCTCAAATTTATTTTTTGCCTGAAAAAGACCTTGTATTTTTTCATTTTTTCCGAAAAACCCTCAACTTTGTATTTTTTTTTTTCCGAAAAAACCCCTCAACCTTCTAAATGCTTCCAAATCAACCCTCAAATTTTTTAGTTTTTCTCGAAAAAACCCTAACATTTTACAAATTTTTGGTAAAAATTAAATTTCAGGTTTAATCCGGAAAAATAAATACAAAATATATAAGGGTCTTTTTTGAGATTAATCCTTTTTTTTAACCTTAAAAAAAAACAATTGTACCGATTATCCTATATTTGTACCACGAAAAAAAATACAAAAAAACATGTGCTTTCACGGTATTATCAATTAAGCCACTGAACTATTCTTATAATTATTATAAAAAAAAATATAATAGTTCAGTGGCTAAATCAATAAAATGATAAAAGTACATTGTGCTTTTATGTATTTTTAACCCTTAAAATTATTAGTTATTTAGATGATTATTGTATGCAGTTGCTTGTATCTTCAACTTTTGTATCGATATGTTGACAACCTTTCAAGGGAATCAATTCCAAAAATTTTCAGAGAAAGAAAGATCAAAAGGTACAACTATTCAACTTTTTGTAGCTAAAGTGTTCATTTATTTACTCTAAAAATTTTACTTTTTTGGATATGAAAGAATTGGAATAAGAAGTGATGATGTGGCGGATACTTTTGAGAAAGTGGTGAAGGGTTGCAGCATGGTTTTGTCATCACCACGTCTTGTAATCCCAGCTGCCATTTATGGATTGTGGGGCATCTCTCAACATTTTGCAAATGATTTTTTTCAGGTTTTTAATTTTTTATTTTAATATTTTTACACTACAAATCTTTTTTAGGGTGTGCACTTGCTCTTTATTTTTGTAAATGTATGGAAAACTCAAGGACATTTCTGTCATTTTGCACCCATAGTGCTTTCTAAAATTGATTGTAATCCCTCAATATAACATAAGGAAAACCTAATGCTTACTAGATTTTCGAGAGTCAACACCTTATGTAGTTTAATGACCAAATTGCCCTTCTGATATAGTTGTTGTTATGGATGTTTTTTTATGTATAGCTTACACCAGCAATGGTAGGGGTGTTTGCATATAAAGCTGCTGCATTGGTTCAAGTTTACAGAGACAATGAAGATCTTCAATTAATTTTTCCTGGAAGTGATGTGGACATGTTTGACTAAAGCTTTTTGTCAAACTTTAATATATTTTTTTTTGACTTTCAAGTTGGATGCTTCCCAATGGCTCACATCTTTGAGGTAATTCAATTTTTAGAGACAATGAAGATCTTCAATCAATATATATACTCCTTCTGTTGCATGAAAAAAAAAAATTGCAACATTTCTTTTTTGGAAAGTTCTCATAGAGTTGCCTATTCTCATTATTGCATGTTTATCAATATTCTTCTTATAAAAAGACTAAAAGCTCACTGATTGTTTTTATATATTTCCCTCTTGCAGGTCTTTTACATGGAAGAGTGAGAGGTTGCTTGTGGAAAGCCACCGATTACATGTCAAATAAAGTCTTTTGTAATGAGGTTTAGTTGTATATTACTTGTAAGTTGTAATTTACATGTTCTTGTGATAATATCAACATCTTAAAACCTTGTGAAATAGTTAATAGGATTCAATAAACTGCTTATTAATTCTGTCATTTATGTAACATTGTAATTCATCCATCAATTGAATTGTTCTGTGTAATGTGTTGCTTTTTGGTTTTCTGACTTTCTTCCCCATGTGATTCATGATAGGTTTTTTGTGACCTTTGTATTTGGGAGTGTTATGCTCTTTGAGCTTGTCTTGTTTCTTGTATATTTTTGGTTTCTTATATTCTATGGTATGTTAGTTGATGACATTTAGTAATAATGTCTTTTTGTAAAAGTGGTCATCTATTACTCCAAAATTTGTGTCAATATATACCAGATTTTGTTGACATCCACTTTCTGGTTTCTAGTTAAGTTATCTACATCATGCAAGCATGAACCATTTCTTCTTGTTATGTTTCTGTTATGCTATTAGGTGTGGGCAATATGTTAAGGGATGTTAGGGTTGGATATAGTGTCTAAGTCCATAACTATACTTGGTATGTACTTGATCCGACCTGACATGGTCCATTTGGGTTGCACTTCACCCGAACAATTTATGGATAATCTTTTGAGAATAGTATAAGTTATGATTTATTAATATATTATAAGTTCTAATATATTAATATAAAATCATATTATTTAATTAGTATTGATCTATAATTAATCTAGGATTAATTTAGAGATCAAAAGTATTACTAATTAAATATGAGCACCTATATTTATATAGTGTGGGCTAATGTTTATTTGGAATGGGCTAGGCTTGCTTGGGAAGTCCATGGATACTCCATGGAGCTTTAACCCATGGATCTCATGGAAATGAAAAGACATGGGTTTTAGGGTTTACATGGATGTAACCCTAATCCACCACACTATATAAAGGAGGCTTTGGTTTTTGAAATCACACTAGTTGTGGTGAGTAAAGTAAGAGGGCCGATTTCAAGATAGTTGTGACTATTCTCTCAAGGTTCCAAAGTTTGTGGTGATTTGTGATTTCCATTTGAGGCATCCACACTATTGGTGCTAGGCTCTAAAACTCCAAGCAATCAACTACAACTACAAGGTAAGTAATTCTACTAGCTTTATTTGATTCAAGTTCCCTATGCCATGCTAGATAGGATAAGAACCTTGGAAAAATAATTATTTGTATGTATCTTAGTTAAACATAGATCCAAGGTTTCTAGGGTTGCATGTACACCATAGGAGTGTTAGAATGCTCAAAACCCATCAGTGGTATCAGAGACTAGGCTTGTTTGTTTGATACTTGATGCAAAATAGTGAAAAAAGTCGATTTTCTTGCTGTCTGCATGATGAACTCGCCGAGTCCATGACCAAATTCATCCTACTCGTCGAGTAGGTTCGTGCACTCGACGAGTAGAAGCTTCAGAATGCAAAATTTTGACTTTTGCTGCTGGAAATGGACTAGAAACATTACCCTAAGCTGTTTTGGTGTTTTAAAACTTGTTTTAGTTGGTGTAATGGCTGTTCTAATCCATTTACAATAGCTTATATCAAAATTTCATGCTTTGTATGTGTTCATACAATCCTTGAAACTTTAATGATCATATTCATGTTCTTGAACTTATGAAGATTAGATGATCATAGGAATTGTTTGTAACCTACTTGGTAGTTTAATTCTTGATCATAATGTGTTTTAATGGAGTCCATAACTTGTCCTCAAGTTATGGAAAACCAAAGGTCACACTTTAATAAAATCCATTAAAAGAACACAAGAGTTAGAAAAATGAAGAGTCTTCATTTTAATACTCAATTAAATTCATAAGTTATAAGAAATGAAAAGTTTTGAAAGTTTACAAAACTTGCCCTCAAGTTTTGGAACAAGTAAAGTCATGATTAAAACTTTAGTTCCAACCCCTAGAATTTTAAAAGTTAAAATTCAACCCTTATACTTTATAATATTATAAGTTAATAATATATATATATATATATATATATATATATATATATATATATATATATATATATAAGATCAAGTCGTCTTACCGCTAGTACGCCTCATTCACGAAGCCAGTCTATAAGGGGGGTATAAGGTTGTTGCCTATAAAATGACAACTTAATGGGTGTCCACTCTCACCCACCGCTTCCTTGATCGGTGGAGGGTCGTTAGCCGAACGGGTAGGACAAGGACTTATAAATTCTCATTAAAAGTATAATGATAATACTAAAGTAACTAAACTTTATTGAATTCCCAATCTTAGTTATTTTAGGAAAATGTGAATAAGGTGCTAATCCATGAAATTACACTTTACACTTTGTTTAAGTCGTTAGTGGAGCGTGTGTGGTTAACCGGCACACTAACTTGAACTTAACAAGGTAGGTAAAGGGTGACTTAATGTTTATCATAGTATCGATGGAGCGTGTGTGGTTAACCGGCACATCGATTGAGGGGTAATACATTAAGGGTACCAAGTAATTTGCATGGTTACTTCACACCTTGTTTTGTGATCCTCGGCATCCCAGTCACAAAACTTGAAGGGCACACTCGAGATTGAAACATGCCATTGAAGAAAGTTCAATGAATCTCAAAGAATCTAGGAGTTTCTAAACCAATTAAAACCTAATTAAATATTTCGCTTTTCATGGTGGAAATTGGTGAATCGTCGTTCACCTACCTTCAAATATCTTATAGCTTAGATTACGACATCCCTCTTCTAAGTTATAAAATATTGTGTTGGGTCCTAGCCTTAATATTACATTTGGGTGTTTTATTAAGGACTATCTCTAAATCTAATCTAATCTATTTCCTCTTCTTTTCAGATGTCTTCCAATAACAATGCTTCTGGCTCAAACCCTACCAGCTCCTTCTCTCTCATAAATCTTTGTGGGAGAGTCATCTTTGATGGATCCAACTTTACTGATTGGATCAGAAACATCAGGATGGTCACTCGGTATGAGAACAAAGAATATGTTCTCGACAAGGAGCTAAAGGTACCCGAGCCAACTGCTACTCCTGAAGAGCTTGCTGAATATGAGGTACATGAAAGAGATGCTACAAAGTGGCATGCATCATGATGGCCACCATGACAGCCAGCTCCAAAAGTCCTATGAGGACTATTATCCTTTTGAGATGCACCAGGACTTGATGGACCGCTACCATCAAAGTGCTCGTCAAGAGCGATATGAAATAATCTCCTCCATGATAACAACCCGAATGAAGGATGGTGAACCCATCACGGGCCACATGCAGAAAATGCAAAGGTATGTGGACCGTTTACTGAAGCTGAATGTGAACTTCCCTGAGGAGTTAGCAATAGACATCATTTTGCACTCCTTGCCATCGTGTTATGATCAATTCCGCATGACATATCACATGAACAAGGAAGAAGTCACCCTCAGCAAACTTCAAGGACTCTTGAAGACCGCCGAAAGTGGTCTAAAGGGTAAGTCGGTTGTTACTACTCCTACTCCTACTCCAACTGCGGCCAATGTCTTGGAATCGGGCATGGCAAAGGGAAGAAGAGAAAGAACCCTTCTAAGGGTACCAAGGGTAAGACCCTTGAAGGCTCCTCTTCAAGCAAAACCAAGAAAGGTTTTGTCACTCCTTCTGCTAACCCTAATGAGGCTGAATGCTTCTATTTCCATGAAAAGTCGCACTGGAAGCGAAACTGCCCAAAGTACCAGCAAGATTTGAAGGATGGGAAAGTAAAACCCAACCATGCAGGTATATACACTATATTGTCTAATAACTCACCTCATTCTAAGTCTTGGGTCCTTGATACAGGTTGTGGTATTCACATATGTTGTGATTTGCAGGGACTAAAAGAAGTGAGAATGTGGAGCATGGAAAGATAAACTTGATCATGGGAAACAGGAAAGCTTCACCTGTCACCAAGATAGGAGTTTATTCCTTAGTGCTAAATAGTGGGTTTACATTAGATTTGAATAAATGTTATTATTCGCCAGAAATGGCAAGAAATGTTATTTCCTTTCATGCATTGTATAAACAAGGTTTTACCTTTTATTTTGATAATAATAATGGTAGTATTGATGCTTTCTTTAATAATGTTCTTTATTTTAAAGCATTACCTTGTGATGGCGTGTATGAAACTGTATCTGTTGTAGATAATCTAGGAAATAATGTATTGTGTATTGACTCTTCCACTAGCTTAGATAAAGCATCTTTATGGCATTGTCGTCTTGGACATGTAAGCAAGAAACGCATAGGCCAACTCCAAAAGGATGGAGTCTTGGAGTCATTTGACCTAAAGTCAGATGATAGTTGTGAATCTTGTTTGCTTGGTAAAATGACAAAGTCACCTTTTACTGGCACTTGTGCTAGGGGTGAAGGTTTGTTGGACCTCATACACACGGATGTGTGTGGACCCTTCAGAACCGCCACAAGAGATGCTAATCGGTTCTATGTGACTTTTACTGATGATTTTAGTAGATATGGATATGTCTACCTAATCAAGCATAAGTCAGAAACCTTTGAGAAATTCAAAGAGTTTAAGCAAGAAGTGGAGAATCAGTTGGGCAGGAACATTAAGATGCTTCGATCCGATCGTGGTGGTGAGTATCTTAGTACTGAGTTCCTTGACTATCTTAAGGAATGTGGGATTGTCTCACAATTGACACCTCCTAGGACACCACAGTTGAATGGTGTAGCTGAGAGGCGCAATCGGACCTTGTTGGACATGGTTCGTTCCATGATGAGTCGAGCTTCGCTACCAATCTCATTTTGGGGGTATGCCTTAGAGACTGCCGCCCATATCCTTAATCTAGTCCCTACAAAGAAGGTTGCCAAAACACCTCACGAGATGTGGACTGGAAAAGTTCCCAATCTAGACCACATCAAGATTTGGGGTTGCGAGGCTTTCGTGAGACGCGAGACTCACGATAAGCTCGAACCCCGAAGCGAAAGGTGTATTTTCATCGGCTACCCACAGAAATCCTTTGGTTACATCTTCTACAGACCCAGTGATAATGTGGTCTTTGTAGCAAGAAGAGGATTCTTTCGAGAGAGAGAATTCATGAGCCAAGGAGACAGTGGGAGGCAAATTGACCTTGAGGAAATTCAAGAGTCAAGTGGTGAAGGAACCTCAAACCCTAGCCCTCAACCTGAGGAGGAAACTCCTGTTGAGCCGACTGAAGAATCTATACCTCTG